GCTCCAGGGTCCCACCGCTGCCGCCACCCTGGAAGGTGCCACACAAGGGATCCGAAAACAGATCCGGAAAGTCCCCTGCCTGGTTTCTGAAGAACTTCAGCATCTCTGCAAAACAAAACCAAAAACATTCAGTGCTATTTTATTGCCCAGACACTTTGTTACCTGCCATTAAGTCAGGACTCGAATGCTGGCATGGGAGCTCTGGGTCCTTCAGAACGTCTAGGAGAAGGTATCACACCAATCCAACATCTCCAGAGACAAACCAAGAGGTGGCCAGCGGCCCCCTGTTCAGGGGGAAAGGCAGGACTCTCCTACAACACTTTCCCAGACTACAGGCTCCAAGCACAGGCTAGAACTTAAAGCCATCTCCAATACATTTAAAATCTGAGAGTCTTGTTCCATCACCGCTCCGGTCTAATCCTTGCAGAAGGAAGAAACCAAGCACCTCCATGACTCCGGCACTAACCGTTCTCCCCCCCAGCTTTTAGGGTGGTTTCAAGCCCCCTATCCCTCCTGCCTCACTGAGTACCTGGACAACAAAGAAATGGGATAAGAAATCATCCTAACTTTCTTTTACTTTCAAGCGTACCAGAAACTGGGAAGAAAACACTACAGGAAACAACACTTTATAGAACTGTAGCAGCAGAAACCCATGCATGTGTTTAAACCACCCGAGTAACTTTTTTGTTGGGGTTTTTTTTGCCTATTTATCCCCTGCCTGCAATTACTGCATACCAGTTTCTCTCCATCCCACCTTCCCCAGGGTTTTGTCAGCCCACATCAGGAGGCTCCTACCACAACGCTATAGCTGTCCCCCGCAGAGGAACAAATTTCACAACCAAGAGATCATTGTTCGCCAGCGAAGCTTCCTCTTCCCTCCGTCTAATCCAATTTAATCCAGTTATGTACCTTAAGACACCAGCGTGCTTCCCCTGATCCACGTGTGGGCGGTGGCGTGAGGAGTCAGACATCCCACCCCACCCCAGGGTCTGCCCATGCCGCACTGGCTCCTCCACAGCGCTCACAAAGTCCTATTTATTTCCTTTCTGGAAGCAGGAAAAAAGGGAGGGGACCCACAAACATAACGGAGTGTTTATAACTAAATAATAAGTTTGGGTTTAGAAAGTAGAAAACAGATTTCTGATTTAAGGAAGAAATACGGCAAAGGGTTCCTTACACCAGGAGCCCTCTCATCCACAAACCCAAAGGACGACGCGCCTCTGGTTTACGAAGGGGGGTCGAAGAAGAAAACTTTTCACAAAACGTTTCGGTGGAAATTGTCCCACCAGCAAGAGGGCTACTAATTTGCTTCTCTGAAATGTCACCCACACATTATCCCATTAATTTGTCTGACACTCCTGAGACAGAGCAAAGGGATCGTCCTCCAAGTTTCTTGCTCCCTCAACAAATGTTTTGCCATATTTCAGGATTTCTACGATACGACTCTCTGTCCCTTCCGACAGCAATCTCTCCCCACACTGACACACATTTGAGCATTGACCATGACCACTGCTCTTCAGAACTCGAGTCTGTTGGGTGGAGGAGCTTGGGAGGAGATGTGTCCTCCTGACCTATTAACAACCCGACACCACGTGGGGACGCACAGATCCCCCCGGCACGGAGTGGCAGCCGCCCTCGGGGACCAGCCCGACCAAACCTTTGTCTCTGCTTTTAACCAGACGAACGAAAGAGGTTTTTTATGCAATGCCTCAGCAAACTTTCACAAAACACCACCGGAGCAAGGAGGGCTGTTTAAAGATTAACACTTCTGCATAACATCTAGATGGGTACTACACAGCTTTTTGCCCTCCAACCGACTGCAGCTGAGGCCATCCCAGATAACCTCCAACACAATAAACCTGATAATCCCAACCACGTAGTTCTCAAACCCTTCACTGGACGGCACTACCGCAAGTGGGGAATAAACATAGATCGCACAAGATTTGCTCTGGAAGAGCAAATTCCAGTGTATGAGCCAAATTTCAAGTACTGCGTTCTAAAGAATGTTGTGTTCAAACACAGCAGATGTCCTGTTGTTAAAAAAAATCCCCACTCTTGCTCTCAGAAGTTAAATCACATCTCTATCATAGACCTAACTTAGACTAAACGCAAAAAGTCTGAAGATTACTTTTTAAAAATGAGACTGCCAGGGGATCAAACCCACTTCTGAAGTGCCCCAGAGCTTTCCTAGCAACCACACAAGGAAAATAAAAAGCAGGAGAAACAGCGGCAGCCACAGTCCAAATCCCTCCCTTCTAACACACCTTCGCCCACGCAGGGAGCAGAGCGAGCGCCTGCACCGACTGTCAGAGAGCCTGGGTGCTGCTGGAGCACAGCCCTCGGCTCCAAACCCATCGTCGCCAGGCCACCCGTTCCCGCGGCGCCGGAGAGGTCTCCCTCCCTAACGCCGAGCCAGATGTTACCACAGAAGACTAGCCCAGCCCAGCCCAGCCCAAGGCTGAAAAATGCCAAGCAGGTATTGTGAAACTGAGATCAGGGCCTCCCGCTGCCCGTACCGGCCCAGCGCCTGAGCCCCCGGCAGGAGGCTCAGCGCCAGGACCCCCCCAAGCCAGAGCACGACCCCGGTGAGCACCGACATCCCAGAGCAGTCGGCTCATCTGCCGGACCGGCGCTGTTCCTCCTCCACCGCGGAACATCGACAGCCGTGCAGCGGGCGGTGAGGGTCCCTCAGCCCGAACGGGAGAGGAACGCCAAGATCTGCCAATGAGGAGCCTTAAAAGCCAAAGCGAAAACTTGCAGAATTTCAAACCCTGAGACGCATCCACGTCGGAGCACAAAAATACCAGGATTGTCACACATCTCCCCCGCGCCGGGGAAAATCCGCCCCGGGAGCCGGGGAGGAAGGCGACGAGTTACTCATCGCTCCGAATCACACCTCCGCCGGCACGCCACAGCTCAGAGCCAGCTCCGGGTCCATCGGAACTCACCTCCACTTCCATACGGACCCCAAGAAGTCGTTACGCGGTGCTTAAACAAGAGCAAACACCACCCTCGACTCCCACCGGCAACTCTACAAGTGGCAACCAAGCCCCCTTCCATTCCCACATTCTACTTTTACACACGATACAGTCAAAAAAACCCAAACAGGTACAAACTTTGCCCCTAGCTATGCTGCAAACCAATCCCAGCAGGAAGCTCCAAAGCGCTGATTTCCACCCCATCCTGTAG